CTGCTGCATGAAATTGGCCCAATATCCGCCCAAAAAAAACACATGTCCAAGACATTGGCCAAGCACATCCACCAAAAGCCACAGTTTTCCGGTAGAATGTCCTGGTTTTTGTACGGCTTGTGCATCCACTCCAGCAAATTTCTGGACCGACTCCTCAGGTTCCGTCCCTCGGGGCTGGGGAACTTTCAGCTCTTCTCCAGGCGCAAGGCGCGGTTTGGCTCCGATCCGCTCGTTTTCCACCCTGGAGACACGTGAGGCTATGAAGTTTAGTGGTAGGAGCACCCTGAAAAACGGTTGGTTGCAGAACTAACGGTGCGCATGGCGTGTCTCCAATTGGTCGCGGGAAGACAAAAGTGGGTGGACTTCCTTCAGCCATACCTGATTGGACAAACGCATGGAAATGCCCTCAAAAGAAGTTATGGAGTCCTCAGGGGATAGGTACATGACTGGCGGGCAAATTGCAGGAACCCCAGGGTGACCACGTGAGGCTCCCCGCAACTCGATCTTCGTTTTAGGGTCCTCGGCCCTTGCGGCGCGCAGTTGGTTTCTGCTTTGCCAGTTAACAATGTTTCCCATGGGATCCTACTGTGGGTGTTGTCAGCTGAACCAGCTACTTCCAAGCACAAAACCTTGGTTTGCAGCAATTTCAGCCTGCAACACGCATAGGTGCCCCCCCAAAACCGTTACCATGGGAATATTGTGCACTGCCTCATGTGTGTCCGAAGTATTTGGATGTTTCCCCAAGATAAGGGACCTCCGGCCCCCTTTGGGGTGAAAGGGAAAACTGAGGGAAACTCAAAAGGGCAAAGGGCAAACATTCTTGGTGAACTCCGGCAATATGAGAAGCTGGCAAAAAAAGTGACGTACAACCATAAGGAAGAGTTTTCACAAAGGCCAATCTGGTGGACCTGGGTTCATTGTTGAAACTCCCATCCAAAATGTGTTCGATGTTTTTCGGCACCTGCTGGACGTATCTAAAAGTCGACGTTGCTAAGGTTTGACAACCCCAGGTTGGATTGGCTTCATTGGTTCCTTGGACCACATTTCTCGCCCCGAGTCTTTGGAGCTCCCCTGATCAATTGGCGCCCCCCGACCCCCCCGAGTGACGCCATGCAAACCTCAGAGGCCCAGGTCGGTCCTTGGGAAGCCGTTCGGCTTATGCGGTGTCTGATCAAGCCGTAGCTGAGACTCGGAGTTTGCTCCACGTTTTGCACGACACTCCAAGCTGTTTTCATCGTCTTTGTTGCTCACAAACGAAATCGGCGCCATCCACCTTCACCTACCCGGAGTGCAGCTTGGGTGCCCTAAATCAGGAAAAAAACATACCAGGCCCTATAGTTTTAGTCGATCCACTTGACCCACAAACCGTGTTCTTCTTGAATGGGCTGTCAAATGGTGGACCCGGCAAAAATGATTGTCCCATTGGCTTGACGTCACATCAACCCCGAAAAGGGTGCTCGTCCAAGCCGTACACTTATGTGGGTGTGTCTACTTTTGAGGGTACCCTCTCTTTGGTGGTGCTTTGCCACCGATGTTATGGTTTGTTTGATGCAGGGCAATGCGAAATCGCTCGATCAACACTAGACGGATCAGAACTCATCCAAGACTTATGCTCAGACCATGTTCTTATGTTCTGTCTCATGACCTGGGCAAATCAAATTGCGACAGACCGGAGGTACCGTTTTACCTACAGGGTCCGCTTCCTGGTGGATCCCACTTACCCCTATAGTAGGAAACCAGCCATGTTCCTTTTGGTTTTTTAAGGGTGGTTCCCTTGGTTACCCTCTGTATGGAATGACTGGGCTTGCTTTTGGGGGATCCACTATTTTCGATTTATGCTTCTGATTCACGTGCCGATCCAACTCGCGGAATCCCGCGCAGCGTAGGTGGGCCCGACCAACAATCCCAACGAGGCACGGAGCCCGTCGGGCAGGACGGATTTGATCAGGGTCAATTGGTGGATGACGTCGGTTTTCATTGATCAACTGGCTGAAGTGGATGCAGGTGATCAAAGGGTCCTGTTACTCCTGTTCGATTTCGGGCTCAGGGATTAGGTCTTTTGAGCCCCCGATTCAGGGAAATTGTAATTGAACCATTTGCTTGCACCAGGAGCATTAGAGAAGTTGGTCTCCAAAGCCGTACACTTGCTGACATGTTTGTTGTTCCACAATTGACATATGCGTGTTGCTTGAAAGAGCCCTTGTTTCTTGCCAACACGCCTAGCCACGAGCCCAAGGGTCCTTTCTGTGGCCGTGCTTTCGCTTGTAGCAGGGGTATTGAGAGCGTTTTTGAGGGTGGGGGTTCAATGCTGCACCTGAGCTGAGATGGATTGTCTGAGAAGCCCTCCGGGATTGCTTGCCAGCCACAGTTATTCACTGTCGTCTGCAGCAGTAGAGGGAATGACATTGGGCAATTACGCTCAGCCAATCACCACAAGGAAATGGAGGTTCTCCGCACTCCTTGCTTTTGGAGACTAAGCTCCACACTTTCCACAATTCCCAGCTCACTCAGATGCTCTTGTCTCTTTTGGCAGCGGGCAATTTTGTTTCCGCCGCTCAGGTCGCTTTTGGCATTCACAATGATGGCAAGGTCATCGACGTGTATGACAACAAACCCCACCCGCCGCGTCGCTCCCTCAGACGGAAAGACCGAAGGCTCGTCCGGCTTCGCGCTCAGAAAGTCATCTGGTTGCTCCAAGCCTTCAAAAGACTACGACCAGACTGCAAGGGAAGCTCAGCGGAAGTTCAGTGCGTCGGCAGTTCGGCGAGTAAAGTGACATGGTCCATGCGTGTACCTGGAGTCTCCATGACCCTTGAAAAACGGGGCCATGACCCCTTCATTCCCAATTTTTCAAGGGTCATGGGGACTCCAGGTACAGTGTTCATGTGAATTTGAAGTTTGCGAACTGCCATGTTGACAGAATGGTCTGTTTCTTTCCCCTTTGCATGCTTGGCCGACCAGCGCTCTGCCTGACTGTGTGGAGATCTCAAATAAATTTGGTAGTAGGAAATTTGGTTCTTGTGTCCTTGGTTTCCTTTGGTTTCCCTTGGAGTTTTTGTTGGTTTGATTTGTTTTTTTTGTTTCCTCATGGTTTCAGTCGCTTTTTTGTGGTTTCATGGTTTCCTTGTGTTTGACTTTCTTGGGTTTCCATTGGTTTGATTAGGTATTTGGTTTCCCTCTACCGCACCCAAATTTCTACCCTCAAGATGGGGTCTGTGCAGCAACCCGGGAGTGTCGCTTTCTTTGAGTCGGCAACTGAACGCTAAGATGAAAGGTACCCGTGGCTCATCGTCAAGGTTTGCTGGTGCTTAGGGTCCACGGGACAACTTAGCTTAAACCCTTGGATTTGCACCTGTTGGTTGAGCCTTGCTATTGAACATCCCTGTTCCCCGAAGGCTTAGTCCCTGTTCCAAGGCACAGCTGAGGTTAGATCAAAGCGCTCTGTAGTTTCTGGTCAATTTGGGAGGGACATGTTCCAAATGTTTTGAACAGAACTAGGTCCTGGCTCTCATTTACCCATATTCATTAGTGCTTAGCTCACACATTTGTGCGTTGAAGTGAAGCCAGGGGTGCGTCAAGGCTTTGACTTCTTGGCGTCGCGTTAGGACGTGCAAGAAATGGGTAGGGCCGTTTGAAGCACCTAGGGCATCCTCTGTAAAATAGATGTATGGCTGTGGCAAGCCACGTGATGCAATACTCTGGGGGATACTAATTGAAAGCGATAAGGGAAGTACAGAGATGCCCCACTTTGGTAGCTTTGAACTTGTTATTGTTGTTTCCCACAACCGGGGGCATGTCAAATACGTCGAATGCAAGAATCCCTTTTCAAGGATCCAGCTGTATGGGGGCTCTATCCACCAAGTTCAGGGATGTACCTGGGGGAAGCGCCTTTTCGACCTGCAGTATGCACTCAAGCGCTTTTCGTTTCGGCTCTGCCCAGTTATCAAGTTCCAGCCCACGATCGCGATCGAGCTGAGTGCCACTTGAGCGAGCAAAGGGCCGCGGGGCCCGTTTATTTCCGCTTGACCAAAAGGCAGCAGGTACCGAGAAAGCAGCCACATAAATATCAGCCAGGAGATTCCCACAAAAATAACAGCTTGTTTGTTGCTTTTTTGGCCGAAGGGATTGTGCGAGATTCTGGCTGCAGGTTCCTTGTCCGTTGGCAAGTCTCATAGAGAACACTGGTCTTTGGGCCAGGATGTAGTGAAGTCGGCGGAGGTTTCACGAGCCAGAAAATGAGATCGACGTGTGCGCGGGGGCCTTGCATCTTGTGTGTGTGTGTGTGCCAGTTTGCTGCGACTTTTTTCGTATGCAAGTCAAGAACCCTTGGATGTAGGCCGTAAGAAACAATCAAGATTCGTTATTGCAATGCTTGAGTCTTGCCAGCTGGCCCTTGAAGCTGTCGGCTGAACCGCCGCATGAGACGAAATGAGGGCGCCCCAAACAAAACAACATGTTTCCTGCGGTGTCCCTAACAAAAGGTACCCTCGAAACAAATTCACAACTAATGTCGGCGCAGGACAATTGGACAAGGGTTGCAGCAGCTGGCCTTGTTCACTTCAAGCCCTGTTTTGGGTTTGTTGTACAGAGGCAGTGGCACATGTAGTGTATTCACCATGGCGGCGTGTCGGCATGTTGTTGGGACCTATCCATGCCTATCCCCATTTGCTTCTCTCTAGGGGCTATCAAAGTCAGCTTTGCTCTGCTTGAAGCATAGTAAGACCATGAAGCCAGCATTGGCCATATACTGAGCCTTCATGACCCTTGACGTTGGGAGCAAACAGGGTCTTCAAGTTGGTTTCTTGCATGTCTCTTGGTTTCCTCGGTCCCTTGGCCAGGCCCTCAAAAGAGGCGTTTCGCGGACCTGGTATTTGAACATTGTCTTTTCTAGTCAGGCCACTGGTTGCAACAAGGCGAATCTTTGTGTTTAACATTCAATAAAATCCCAGCTGGGATCGTGAGGCAGCCTTTAGCAACTCGCCGCTGGAAAACCGCCGTTCAGCATCGAGGGATTGGACTCCGAGAGCGGTTCGCCGGCCATGGAACTGGAGGACGGGAAATGGCAAAGCGCGGGAATCGATGGGGTTTTCAAGGGACTCTGTCACTACTGGACATGTTTTATTTTTGTTCCTGCGGGCGGTATTCGCAAATGGAGGAAAGGATCCCTGAATTCCGGTTGAGTGATTGTGTTTCGTGCACGTCGGAATTACTTCTGAATCTTCGCCCATTTCGAGACCTTTGGGTTTATGGAAGTAAGGGGTATAAACCTCAACCCCCCCACCTCCACGCACGCCACCCCAAGGAGGATATACCACCAAATCCACCCCCCCCCCCCACAACGCCCCCACCCCACCCACCCCCACCGCCTCCCTGCTGAGCGCGAGTCGGGCGACTCGCCATCCAAGTCGGATCCAAAGGACCTGCGCTACGTGGCCAGCGGCGGCCACGTGCTGAGCTGCGAGGAGTTCACCTGCCTCCAGGCGCAAACGGCCTCGGGGACAGCGGGGGAGTCGGGGGGAGTTGAGCCACGACACCTGGTGTCAGAGTCCACCGTTGCTTGTTTTTCGCTCCCCTTTTTCCTTTTTGCTTTTTTTTTTTTTTTCCGGGGGAACGGCTTTTCTTTTCGTGTTGTTTTCTCATTTGAAAGGTTTAGTGGTGTCACCCGGCTTTTTGGGGGCTTAATCTCTTTGGTAACGTTTCTTCTTTCAAAAGTTACAGATGATAGGTTTCAGATGATTTCTTTTGCGCGAACCGAGTCCAAGTGTAAGGAATGAACCGGAAAGGGATTCCCGAATAAAGGAAGCCACAATGGATTGTTTATGTCGGGGTCATTCCAACACATTTGCTGGTGACAACCAGCAAGTTTTGGAAGTTGTTTGTTTGTTTTAGGTTTCAGCTGTTTTTAAGCTTGAATTTGTTTCAGATGTGTTTCCCCGTTTCGTTGGAGTGTCCTTTTACTCTTTGAACTCAGCGACCCAAAAGGAGAGGCCTTAACAAATAGCTTGTGCTCACCAAGGGTAGCACAAGGTAACTAAGGTAAATATTGATTAAGATGTTTTTTATACAACAAAAAACCAGGACCCAGATTGGTCAGTTGGCCGCGCCATTGAGGGGATCCTCCGCTAACAAGCACCCAGATGAATCCCCCGGGGCCAACCTGACTTGCACGACACGGCCTTTGCACATGGCAAAGGGTCGGTTCACGAACGTGAGCAAGGGCCAAGCGATCAACCAAGGTTGTAGTGAGTCTTGTTACGTAGACAAATAATACGAGCCTTCTTTTTTGTTCAGGGGGGGGGTTCTTTGGGGTGGCTTCAAGATGTAGTACAAAGCTAAATTGGGAGCCATGATGACTAACTTGGAGATGAGCCCATGGTAAAATCACGACAATTCCCCTGCATGCTGCACTTAGAAAGCTCCCAGCGCATGGAAAGAAGCCCAAGAGTAGCAGCTTGCATTTGCATGAGTCACTGACTCCATGTTTTTATTCTTGGTCTACAGTCTATTGTTGGTGTGGGGAGGACATGTGGGAGTTTCTCCAACTTGAGTTCCCCTCAACTAGTTGGTTTCCTTTGGTTTCCCTGTAAGCTGGGCTGCCTTGTGTTGCGCCAGGGGCTGTTCAAAGGCAATCCTTAATCCTTACTAGTACCTTGTGTTGCGCCAGGGGTCTCTTGTGTAGGCTTTCCAATGGGGATTAAATCGGATTGGCCAACACTCCAGTTTCAACAGCCCAGTCTGAAGTACCAAACGGGCGCCACGATCCGAAGCGGCGATAGGCAGGGCTCAGCTTGCTGAAGGCAAGCGAGTGCCAGGCGCCGGAAAGGGTGGGATTGGCCCAAGATCTGTGGCTTTCTGCTGAAAAACTGGCAAGTCCTCTTCTGTTTAGGGATGTCTCTTATCGGAATGGGGAATCAACCTCAACCTCCAGCCCCTTTCCATCTTGTATCAACTGCATGATTCGTTGGGAAGGTCTTTCGGTATCACGGAAGTGGGCATGTCCTGGAACCCTGACTGCACTTAGTTACAGGCCACCGACCGCTTCGAAGAACCCTTCCAACATTTCCAGAACCAGGGGTTGCAGGCGCAATTGTCCCATCCCCGTAGGGGAAACAGGCCATTTTTGTCCCAAACGGAGGTGTGCTTGGCAGAGCCTTGACGAGTCAGGTCCATGGGCTTGCTACAAAGTGCGGCGACAGACAATTACGAAACAGGAACCTGAGCTCGATCCCTTGCACGCCCAGAGCAGCGTGCCCCCAGTTTTCGATGGGGTTCCCCATAAACCGACTTTTTTGGCAAAACCAACCGCTTTACATATTGTGTGGGTTTGGGAAGTGACCCAATGACACCGCTATGCCTAAACTGGGCACCCCCTTGTCGACATGCAGCCGCCAGAAGAGAATGAGCTAGTCACATGCAAACTCACTTGGACTGCAAGGTTGTTCGGGACAGCTTGAGATCTCTAAAAACGTATAAGGAGATGAAATGAATATATGCTGCCCGCAGTTTCCTTACGGCCTTTTTCCACATTGCCAGTCTGAGCTTTGCTCCTTTCGGGCCGTCCTACCTTTCCCTTTCAACCAAACGAGCATCGCTTTTGGGGAGCCGACTTCCGCTCCCACGCACATCGCGGTGTCAAGTCGTGCACAGGCGCAGTTCTGGGGCAAGATCCTGGGCAAGGACTCGCGATGCGGAGCGATTCATCCCGGAACCTCCCACGCGAAAAGCTCGCGGAGGTTGACTTTGAATCGTGAGAGGTGGATCCCCCTCAGACATGGGTATGTAACATGTCACAAAGGTTTACCCAATTCAGCCTCCTGCGACTGCACATTAGCTTTTCATTTTTGCGAAGATCATCTTGAAGATCATGGTAGTGGACAACAAAGGCCCATTCACGCCTTGGAGCGTTTGACTGGCCCGTGGTTGTCAAAGTGACTCTTTTTGGGACCCGTGTGAGCTGCGGCGCAAACGACACCAGAGTCCAATAGGAGCCTTTCTGTTTGACATCCCTCCATTATGGCCCTCCATTTGTTTCAGAATGTCAGGGCTGGCAAGGAGCACAGAGCCGTGCTTTGAGCACACGATGTTTGAGCAGGCACAAGCGCAAAACGCATGCGGACAACGTGTGCACAGCACAAGGCTGCCATAGTTTCCCCGTCGTAGCTGATTCTTGCTGAGTGCGAAGGTCCCCCATTGCCACCAGCGCTTGGAGCTTATTAGAACAATATAAAGAGGGTTGAGTCACTTCCTGCCAAGTATTACAGACAGGGTTGACGGCCATGATGATGCAGGTTGCTCGTTTCGGGGCTATTTCTTACTTTAGGTTTTGATGCAGCTGAACAAGTTTGACTCTGACAGGCCTTGAAATCACCCCAATGGCGTGCTTGTCTCCATTCTGTCATTCACTTTTGGTGTTTGGCTTCCGTTCTGAAACTGATACGTGGCATTTTCGGCTATGTGGACATATATATATATATATATATGTGGACCAGCTGTTATGTCGTTCTTTTTTGGGCGGATTCAGGAGTCTGACTACTACGTCGCGCGGAGCCGGCTGAGTTGCCACTTTGCCACTGCAAACACTGGAGCTCAATTGCGACCTCGCCAAGGGTGCAAGGGCTTAAGGAAGCAGCTAGATAGCTTAGATAGCCCATACATATTTGCCCTAATAAAAACAAAAAAAAACTATTTTGGCAGGGCGCATCAAGCAAGCTGCTACATTCCAATAGCCCGATTTTTTTGCTCAGCGGGGCCCGAATCGGGGACCCACGCAGCCATGAATTGATCGAATTAGGGCTGACTCGGGTATGCCACAATCAAGAGCTGGGTCGGTGAAGGATAGCAAATTGGGACAGTTCCACATAGTATAAGTCAATGAGATAGCCTTTACGGTTCTGTGCATGACACCGTTTTTTGATTCGACGTTTCGATCTTGCCTCAGCTGCAATATGCTGCTCGGTCTGTGCCTCGAGCAAGTGATTTCTTAAGTACTGCTTGCTTAAGTGTCTAGAATTGGATCATGAGGTTCGCCCCCCCCCCCCCCCAAAAAAAAAAAAAGAAAGAAAGACAATAACAACGATATGGGCTTCAGCCGGAGCCATTTTGCTATGTACAGCCGAGGATCAATGACTTAGTAACCATGACTCTTGCGGGGCTGGTGCTGGTTTACCTTTGTTCATTTGAGTTATCGTGAAGCCATGTGTGCCTCGAATCACTAAGACACCAGCTTTCACCTTTGTACCCATGAATTGAACCCAGGGACATCCCAGGGCTTTTTTTGGAAGACATGCCCCACCCCTTTTGCATTTTGTTCTGGGTCCTTTTGCGTGGGAGCAACAAGCGAATCATGTCCACCAATTGTCCAGTGACCCTGGTAGATTCTCTTTGTGTGGGTTCGCAACCCGAGCAAGGGATTCTTAGCCTCTCCCAATGGAAACAAAAGGAGGGTTTTGGAAGATTAGTCGTAACATCTTCTTCAACAGGGAAGGGTGGACGTTCGGGGACTGGGCAATTATTTGTGTTCCCCTTTTCTGGGGTCACCGCCATGGCAAGTAAAGGTCACGAGTGGCCAATATGGGGGGTTGCTCAAAACGGCGGACACAGCCTCGTGGATGGTTCTAGAAGGGAAACAATACAACATCCGGCCACCCTAGAGGTCTTCAACTTTGAGAAACGCCCACTTGAGCCACAATCAAAACCCGGGTAGCTGAAGGGTAGGGACAATCCCAACCATAAATAGCTGCGGATATCCGCCTTTAAGCTTTACATGCTGGGAGTACGACCAGTTTAATACAAAGGGTTTGAGCAAGTGACTCACGGTCGGAATTGTGCCAGCGACTTTCAGCGTCGAATCCATTGAACCAGGATCATCTCTTACCAGGTGTGCCGTGAAGGGGTGCAAGAGCGTGTACCCGGCGAAGTGCTTCTACTACGCCGGCGAGGAGCGGGAAAGGCATGCGAAAATGACAGGTGTTCGGAAGCTTCAAAGGAGAACCATCCATGTTGCATGTCATTTTGAGACAAACCCAACACATTCAGTGCCGTTTCTTGCCGCCTGCACCCATCGGCTTCAAGGCTCAAGTTGGGGGTCGCCTTCGGTCGCTAGGACTTCCACTTCAAAGCTGTGCCTGAACTCACAGAGGAGGCCGGCCACATGGCTCGCACCTGGCCACAGGATTTTCTTTTCGAGCGCGACCCAAGGTTCGATGGGGTGTGTCTTTTTGGTTGAGGGTGACCCAGTTGCCCAGTGGCGCCCTGCTTTCCTTTTTGGGGAAGGGTTCCCCTTTAAACTCAACCAACCAAAAAAGGATGCCCTTTTTTCCCATAACCCTGGTTTGGTGGCTTGTCCGGGAAACCTAAAGGAGAACCACGGTTTTGGGGGTCCCCAAGCAAAAGATGCCCAAATACCCCTGCTTGATTCAGAACGGGGGGTTCACATGAAAGAGGGGTCCATTCACTGTATCAGCCCATATATACTTCCTTGCATGGAACCCAGACTTTGGCTCACCCAGAACAGCTCGCAGGATTGGCTCGCTGAGATTTCTTCACTTGGAGTTTGGGTATCATTTGGGCAATGTATAGCGTTCATCCGGGGAGTAACGCGAGCACAGGTTTCCGACCAATGGACAACCGATGCTAAAGGCGGAGTGGTGCTAATTCGACCTTTTTTTGAGTGAGCTATGCAGCAGCGGGTAACAAGCTTGGCGAATCACGGGATCTCACCTCCTGAGTGGCTACCACTTGAATATGGGTCAATTTCTTTGGATTACCTTTGAGTACAGCCACAGCAAGGGTGCTGGTAGCTTTGCCACCCATCTAACAGCGGAGTTTATCTTGGCTATTTCGGGAGAAGTTTGGCACCAATTATACTGTGTGGGTTTTTTTGCAGACATGACATCCTACGTCTATGCATGCAAGCATCGGCGAGCCATTTGCGTATGTCTCCTTTGTATGGCACTCATTCCTCTGTCGCACACGTATACAACATGCCCCGATACATAGCCCTGCTATTTCCCATCAAGCTGGTCAATTGCACTATGCGTGGGTGCACGCAATGTTCGCCAGCAGCCTCAAAGGTGGTACAGCAGCCTCAATAGGGCAAGTGTGGGGCGGGGGGGGTCGAGTCCCATGTGATTTGACATGCGTTCAAGGTCTCAGGGCTGTGGGAAATGGAATCCACTTCTGTGATACAAGAAGGTCCCCCAAAGACCCCGCCATTTAAAGCGAAAAATCCCTTGTATCACAGCGGGGATCAACCCCTTGCGTCGTCGATCAACTTCCCGGGGGTTGCCAAGTGCCCAGGTTCGCGGTTGGCTCGCTGGCTTTGGTTTTTTGGCAAAAAGGGCGGAGGGAATGGGACATCAAGCAACACGAAAAAACAACAAAGAAGCAAACAAAAAACACAGGAACAAGCCAAGCAAGCGAATAAGCAAACAAACAAACAGACAAGCAGACAAGCAGACAAGCAAGCAAAACAATCCAGCAAAGGAAGCAAACTACACGGGAAAAGTGAATACCCACCGGGCCTTGGCTTAAGCCAGTGTCGGCTTGTGAGGTGGGTGAGGCCATCACCATGCTGCAGTTAGCCAGCGACTCAGAGGATCGAAACAGGCGCCACCCGGTCTTTGGCCTCGATTCTGCAACTGCTGTTTGGCTTGCTCATTTCCCAGAGGCTCCAATTCGATTGATTTAGGGCCCTCCAAACAGCCAGGTTTTGGGACCCGCAATCACATCCTGGGGTCGGGTCTTCCATTGAAAGCCCCAGGAGCCTCTAGGTTATTAGTTTTGCATAGACGCCCACCTTTTCGCCAAGAAAGAAAGTGGCCTGCCTGTTTTGCTTAAGGACCCGGTTCAGGGTCCTTACAGTTTTGGAGCGGAACAGAATCAACTCAGCAACAAGTTTAGAGGCGTAAGCCTGGGATCCCCATATCCCGAAGCCTTGAAACAAATCGATGTGACCTGATTATTTGCTCTCTATGCTGTCATGAAGGGACCCTCTAAAAGGGAGCTGGCCCCTTTGCTTCCATGATTGTGAGCATTGCTCCCCAAACAAACCCTACTTGTGTCTTTTGTTGGGGGATTCTGGCAATCAAGTGTGTTAATTTTGGGTCCCTGTAAAACCGCCCAAAAAAGAAGCCCTCACAGAACAGACCTCGCTGAGACCTCGCCCTTGACCGGCAAGCCCACCGCCCTCTTGGAATCCGTGGAAGGTGCGGGAGCTTGCGCCGCGAACAGATCTTGATTTTGGAGGGCATCTGTGCTGGGGTTAGTTTAAAGGGAAACCGACAAGAACCTCACGATTTTGGGATTCAATCCATTTTGAGCCTGCTATTCAGCGCCATTGAGCGCCCAAAGCACTCAGTGGAAATTTGTGCATCCTATGGTTCATGGGGGGCTGGGAAGAGCCCAACTCGCTGGACCGCGGTACCTGTCTATATTCCATGGAGTGGAAGGAGGGGTTCCTTACTGCAAGGATATGAGTCAGGACTGGCATTGGTGCACTGGGCAGGTAATGATGCCAGCATCCGAGCAGGTGCTGAAGCACCAATCGTGGCATGAAGTCAGACAGGCACACCCGCTGAAGTACTTCCAGATCACCAACGTCTACTGTTCATTGAGAAGTGCAGGTTCTCAAAGTACAATACACCTTGAGCCACACAACGTGAATGAGGTCAGACTTAGAGGCAACAAAGGGAGCGAGCCAGGAAACATCGCGTTGTTTGTTGAGTTGGTTTGGAAACGCATGTGGCAAGTTGTTGTTTCCCGCGGGGTCCACTTCAAATAAAACAGTGCTTGTGTCTCGCAATTGCAAAAACACGAGGACGAGTAGGCGCAACCAAACAAGCACGTTGCCCTTAAATGTTTTGCTGCTTGTTGCCACGCAACAAGTTGTTCGCCTCGTTACTTGCTCTTTCAAGTACATGCACCCCTCAAGAACTCGTCGCTCACTTGGGTGGCACCAAAATGCATGGCCCCTCTTAATGTCGATCTCTCAGATCGGCATGCCAAAGTGATACCTTTTTCAGGGCATCCTTTTCGGTGTCTGTGTGTGTGTTATTTGTAGGGTCCCTGTCTTGGGCGCTTTTACCCGGAAACCAATTCGGAACACTGAAGCCATTTGGGGGGGGCGGGGGCCCAAGAAAGAGACGCGCCCTTGGTGTGCTTTGATGGACCCATCATCCAGCGCGACAGGTTCAGAGCCCAAGGCCGCTTCGGGTTTCGGCCGGAAATGACGCCGCAGGTCTGTGGAGTTTGCGGTTGACCTCTTTCTCAGACGTTTGCAAAAACACCTTGAAGGTTTTTATTTTCCTGAAATTGCAGTTAACGCTGTTGGAAAACGAAGAATGTTTCACTGACCTCCAAAGGCTCAGACCGAGACTTGGCCACTTCAACCCATGAAGCAACCAAAGGAAACCTACTGGAGAGCTTTGAGCCAGGATCTCGGGTCTTCATAGCTCGTATGGCTTTCTCCAGCTCATGGGACCAAACGTTTGCAAAAGGGCAGTTTTTCCAGATTTTTCGGAGCAACTCTTCCAACTGAAGGGGAGGATGGTCCGTCCCAACGGATCCTTGGGGTATCCTTCACTTATAACATCAGAACTCCTTGCTTTTGAGCTGGTGCATTAATGGGAACCCGGGTAGATACAAGCCTATCATAAAGTTAAAGACCTGTCTGAGTACTAGGGTGATGTCCTTAGAAGGAGACCCTTCAGTTGTGGGCCTTTGAAACCCGGTGTTGCACATGTCCGGCAGCACGCCTAATTATACGCGTGAATCAGAAACTGGTGGGATCCGTTTCACAAACACTAGCGAAGGTGCAGAAGTTCCACAAGTTGGGTGATGTCCTTTGGGTGTTCAGTACCCTTAACAAATAGACACACGAAGCATGAATCTAGTACCCTCCCACCGACCAACATGGAAGTGCACAGACCCCTTTAGAAAGGCCACCTTCCTCTTGGAAAGGGGCTTTGTAACTCTTTTTTCCCCCTCCTTTGTGCACTTTTTGTTGTTCGTTGGTGGGGCTTTGTAACTCTTCAATCCCCCGACTTCGTTGCCATTACCAAGCCCAAACTCGCTGGGTGTCCCATAAAAAGTTCCGCGGCCGCTGGCCCGGGGTCTGGAAAATGTCGGCAGGCGCTCACGGAGCTGAGCCGCCTGGCGCTTCTGATTCAGGATGTGAAAAAGAGGGGCCCCAGGCAAACGGGAAAGCTAAGCCTCCCCCTTGGTGGTTTGGAGCTGGGTGATTTGGATTCGGATTCGAACCCCTGGTTCTTGTGGAGGGTAAATTAAATGGGGGAAGACCTCCAGATCACCGATTCGGCTCCGTCAGAGGGAAACTGAGAGATTCTCCCCCAAAAAAAACCATGGAGCCATGAGATATGCCGGGTGACTTTAAACTGGGTGGTTCCGAGCCATCCGGTTCCTTAGCTTGACGGTGCTTTTAGTTGGTTTCGTGGGGGTGTCCCCTGCTAACCCAGTAAAAGTGAAAGCTTGAGCAGGGGATCTGAGGACAGCCCACCAGCTACTCTCTCATCAGTCGTTTGTGTTTTGTAGGGGTTCCTCAGAATGGGCCGTTTGTTTCGAGGTCGCAATCTCAATGGTGCCGAACTTGTGAGCGGAGGGTCCAATGATGCGGGTGGCGCTTTGGGTATCCAGTGCCCATTGCTTTTTCAGCATTCTGTAAATGTGTTCTTTCTTGAGCCACCTCAAATCTAACACCCCCAAACCCGTCGGGTGGGAAAAACATCTTTTAGGGTCGCGAGCAGAAGGAAGACTTGTTCAGAACTGTTTGGAACTCAGAATGTTGGGGTTAAACATCCAGGTTCCATGGAATTGGTTGGGGGAGCCTCAATAGCAACAGTCATCCTTGGCGCATGTACTTGGACAGACACGCCGCGAAATACCCTCCCCAGGCTAACATGGAAGCTCCAGGACCTCTTTGGAAGACTTGGTTCCATTTACAGGGGCCTTCTGGGAGCTTCCATGTGAGGGAAAGTGACCCAAAATTGACAAGTGGCAAGGGGTTCCTCCTGGTTTTTCTTTGACACCAACCAGAAAGGGCGCGCCATGGCTTGTTCACTTGACGAACCTGGCAGGAGATCGATTTCGACACCTCGGTGGTTCCAAAAGGCTGGCGATTGGGTGCGGTTGAATGGGTCGATTTGAAAGGGAAACCAACGGAGAACCACTGTAGCTGAAAGAGAAACTAATTTTGTCTGTAAAACTCTATAGAGGTCCAGGTAGCTGACGGAACGGAGTCTCGTGACCCGTTTGGGCGAAACCGGATGCCCTCCACGCATCATTCATTGTCCTGATCGATCAGAACCAATTCGTTTGTTACCCGCAAAAACTGACATTGTCCTCTGACCTAACTCGGACGGCAATTCTGAAGGACGGATCCCCTTGATCTTGAATGAGACACCCCCGGTGCCACGCCATGAACTCCGCCGAACTGGCTTGAAGGACATAGTGTGTCCAATCCGAAGTGAGCTAAAATCAAAGCCATGGGTTATTGAAGCTTGGCAGGGATCATTCTCAACACAAATTGTGTTGCTAATTTGGTTGTGGGTGTATTTGCATGTCTCACAACAGAAGCCTGATTTCCCTTTGATTGCACCAAAGGGGGGGAGCAAAGAAGCAATGTTCCTTCGATACTACTTTCGTTATTCATGCCTTACTTCCCCTCGTACCAACTAGGGTTACCCTTGCACTAAATAACAAGGAGCTAGTGTCAGGAATGGCCCACTGCCCGCTTCGGGAAGAGTACTGCTCCATAGCCAGGTGATACTGTGGAGGAACGAAATGCTGCACCACCCAAGAAACCCGGGAATGATGATTCCCCTGTAAATACCAGCAAACAATGGTTTCGCATGGTTTCAAAGTGGTCCAGGATTTCGTCCATCCACAGTATCACAAGCTCCGACACTTTCCCGTGGTGGGATGGCAACGTGTCGAAGCCCATACCTGAACCGTGTGAATCAGGCGCCCACGCCTTGAACGAGAGCCAGGCGGATGCGGGTAAGGCTTACGTGGGCTCAGTCGTGAAGTGTTTCAGGTTTCGTTGGAATCTTCAGATGGTTCATTTGGCAACTGGGGCATGGGTTTCTCTTGGATTCCCTTTGAAACACCCCCAAAGATTCCCCCCGCCAAAAGAACGAACACCCTGTGCCGTGGGACAACTCTGCGTGGGGCATGGGCTGCTGGAGAGGAAGCCTTTCCAACACATGTTGAACATCCCTTCAACAAGTTGATCATCATCCCTGCCAACCTGATAAAATTTGGTGTTTGGGTCAATCCCTTGTGCTTCCGGCCAACATAGCAGCCCGATGGAAAGGTGACGAGCCTCGGGTTCTGTCTACCATAAAAGAACCCACACGGCGGGCTGCTCTTTAGTGTCCCTTCAAGTCACACCAGGTGCTTTGGGGAAAAACAAACAAACACGCAGACAAACAAGCAAACAAACAATCAAACAAACAAACAAGCAAGCAAACAAACAAACAAACAAACACACAAACAAGCAACCAAAAAACCAAACAAACAGCCAAGCAAGCAAGTAAGCAAGCAAGCAAAATAAAAACAAACAAACAAACAAAAGACAGAGCTTCAACTTGAGGTCCGGCAGAACACCACCCCCCGACAGGTGTGTTGGGTCAAAACTTATGGTTTTGTTTTGGGCCTTTGCCATCCAATGTGACATGTGTCGTTTGGTCTGTCTTCTTCCATGGCAAGTACGCAGGTTCTTACAGACCTCAGATTCAAATCAATGGCCAAGTGCATTCAGCTGTCCTCTGGAAGACATGCGCTCCGTAAGGTGTTGGCTGGGATCAACGAAGGACTGGGGATCCTCGAAATGGGAGCGTGTGGTCGAGTTGGAGGGACGTTGGGATAGAAAAAGGAACTTGTACCTGACCAAGGGAGTTCCCAGTTTATGTTAGACACCAAAACGAGCCACGCTCAACATGATTTACTTGCTTCCCAAAACTCTGGGCATGGAATTCTAGTGTTAGGTTTCGAGCAGTGGAATCACTATAGACTTTTCGCCAGAGAATGGACAATAGCAATCAATTCAACCTGGTGATAGTTGTACCTGGACCCTCAATTTTCCCTTCAACCAGGAGATTCGCCCAAGAATTGTGGGCCAGCAACCCATTTTTAAGGGTGGCTCGGGTCTCCGGAGCCCAAGTCGCCGTCGGCGCATCGACTTTGGCGTCCGATCGAAGCGCAGGTGGTGGTGCCGAACTCCTCCTTCCAAGGCCTGGAGGCTGCGAAGGCGGGACGGCGAGTTGCCCTTGGCAGGGCCTCGGCTCTTTTTTTGGGGGGGAAACCCGAAAACTCGGAGGATCCCAGGCAGTTTCCTGTACGCTGCCCGTCGGGGCTTGGCTTTTGTTGGGAAGCCGAAAACTCGGAGGATCCCGGGGCCGTTAAATCAGGTTGCCCTTAGTTGGTGGTTTGGATTGGTGGTTTGGAATTGGATTTGAACCCCTGGTTCTTGTAGAGGGTAGATGGGAAACCAGCCCTTGACCACCAAACCACCAATCCGAACCACCAAATAGAGGGAAGCTGAAGTTACCCCTATAGATTGCAACCGAACCGATCCATGTTCATTCTGGGTTTTAAAGGGTGGCAAGGTCTTGGTTACGTAGGGTGGCGTGCTATAGGGTGGCAAGCGCTTGGTTACCAATACATGGGGAAAGGGAGTCACTGGGTAAAGGAAACCCCACCCATTTTTTGTTCGATCTGGATGCCTCGAAGTTCTTTTTGGCACAAGACCCCGAAATGGGGATGTTTGGGTTGGGAAAAGCGGGAAACTGGTTGAACCAAAAAGGCGCTTCTGGAAAAGTTCCCCACTTTGGGAAAGGGGGGAAGCTGCTGCGCCTTGGGGCTTGGCAAACAAACAATTGTGTTCAATCACCCAGTCGGGGTAGAGAGGGCAACCACAATGGAAACCACACCAGTACTGCGGGATCCCTTATTTGGAGCACGCACAAGCACACACGGACATGAGGTGCGTGGGAGGTGGGTTTTCAAGGGAAGCTTGTTGTGCCCTGCTTCTCCGCCTTTCTTGGCTGGAGCTTGTGGGTGTGAAACGCAAGCTGAAAGCCCCTTTGAACATCACCAGGTTGGATAGGCAGTCAAGTCAGTTTGAAACATGCATGGTGTTCTGTGGCAAATCTGCCAGCAAACCGGACCCCCTTTGAGCGGGTATACATTTTTGACCTGGCCTCTAAGTTTGTTCCACTGGCGAAAAAGCATGTCACGGGAACCCGCGTTTTCAGCGGGCCACGGACCCGAGTAGGTCCTCAGTCCTGAGGGACAAGAATTTAAAAACAATCACAAAAACGCGAGCTAGCGTTCGTCTTTGGAGGCGTGCCAGACTTACCCTCCCTCGTCAGACCAGTTTGTTTAGAAACGTTACCCTCACTCGATATTTGCCTTGCCAACTGGGTGGGCCTTTGTCGGAGTTGGTCCCCTGTTTGGAGAGTGTTTTAAGTCAAAGTAAAATCGGGCATTCAGTATCCGCGGAGACAGGCCCAAGTGGGAGAAGGGCAAGGGTTCCTGTCACGACTCGTCAGGCGACGTCGTTGGTGAACTACGTACACTTCAGAACTCCAGCTAGCGCTCGCATCCTCAGATTGCGCAAAATTGGGCTTAATTCATCAATTCACAAAATAAGTTTCTGCCTGCTTGTTTGGTGTCTCCCAAAGAGGAATCTGCGATTCCTTCGGTTGTGACATGTCAACTGTTGATCCACTGCTGCCACCATGGCCCTAGACAGAGGGGCCCCTTTGTCCGCTCGACACCGAGCCACGGTTGCGACCGCGCCAGTGGGCGCGTGGACATTCGATCTCAGCGCAAAGGTGCGCTTTGGCTGCTGCGAGCCTCCTTGATCCCCGGTCATTGCATTGGCAGCGGAGCACGGTTACACGATCCGGGAGTCCGAGGAACACCCGCACTTCGCCTTCGGCTCGTGCCCCGACCTTGAGGGTGGCAACCTGGTTTTGACTAAGGTGTAGATCTCCGTCGGGTACGGACGTTGAGGACCATCCTGGTCATATTGGACACCTCAAGGACCTCCTGCGTTACAACATCAAGATCTCCCCACACCTGAACTCCCTCTACGGCAACCTCCTGGAACACATCAACTACCAGGCAACGAGAACACCATCTACGGCAACTTCCAGCTCAACCTCGACATCAACACGATGTCAGACAAGGAAGGCCACATCCCTCAATGGGATGGATCTGCACGGACATGGAGACGCTATACTCGTGAAGTCGCCTGGTGGGTGATGAGCGTCCCCGTGGACAAGCGGCGCTACTGTGCGACCAAACTGGTGGGTCGGTTGACGGGACCAGCACGGCTCCTAGCCATGTCCTGGCCTCTACAACTGTTTGACTCACCAGATGGTACGCGAGATCTTCTCAGACGCCTGGCCGGCTCTCCTCTGGTCAGACAGAGCCTTCCCAACACGGCAGCCATCTGCGCCCAGTACTTCGCCTTCAAGAGGCTGCCCCAGGAGAGCATGAGTGCCTTTCTCATCCGCGAGACCCTCGGCTACGCGGAGTTCACCGAAGCCCTGGTTCGTATGTTCGAGGAACGCAAGGGCATCAAGCAGGAGGACAAGGACTTCGGTATCCCCAGTGGTTCACCTGAGCCCTTCGCACACGAAGATGCATCAAGATCAAGATGAGCATGAATCCGTCCCTGACGAAGCTACCACGCCACCAAGAACAAGGGCAACGGACGCCTCTCAGGATGGCAGCTCCCCTGATGCTGCACCTGGTGCTTCCCCAGGCAGATCTTCTAGACCTGGCAGCAAAGGCAAAGGCAAGGACATCCCTCGTGCGCAACCTCAACTGGACATCACTCAGGTGGATGTCATTGATGAGATGTCCCTTGCCGACTCCTTCATCATGGGCGTCCTGCGTGGCTGGCGTCTTTTACAGGCTGCCAGCTTGACCAGTGAAGAAAAACGTGATATCCTCAGCACCACCCAAAACAACATGAACTACGACTCCATCAGTCGAGCACTGCAAATGCTGTGGGACGATCAACTTCTTGGACAACGCCAACCTCACGCTGTACAGCATCATCTACATGTTCAAGAACAAGAACCTGGCCCTCGACCTGATCCATGGCACGATCACTATGCCAGTGTCCAGTGGTGGGACAACGACTCCGAGTCGAAGGACACCAGTCCTGCCTCTCCCCATCTCGATCCGGATGAGGAGTCAAAGCTCAAGGAAGCACATCAAGCTGAACAGCTTGCGGAACAAATGGCCCAAGAAGCAAGTCGTACCTGGGCTGAAGCCAAACGAGCCACGGCCGCAATACACCGTGACAGGGGCTTCGGCAAGGGCAACTCCGGGAAATGCTACAACTGTGGCGGCGCTCACTTCATCCGCCAATGTCCCGACCTTCGGCATGCACCACATCCCAAGGGATCCTCCGGCAAAAAGGGCAACTCTCAGTTCATGGTTGACCCTTACTACGACGACTTCTACCAGCACAAGGGCTCCAAGAAGGGCAAGTCCAAGGGCAAGAACACCTACTCCGTGGACTATGATTACGACGCCATGTACTTCAAGGGCAAATCCAAGCACTCAGGATCTGGTAAAGGCTATGGCGTGACCCCTTCGCGAAGTTTTGTCAACTCCTACACGGCCGAGTTCTGCGGCCTGGACATGGACCTCCACGGTGGTGAATGTATGCCTGTCACCATGCCATCCACCAGCGGTGATTTTGAAGGCATGGTGGACTGTGGGGCCACAGCATCTGGCCCAGAAGAGGCTGTCAAGGGCCTCATACAGTCCATTGTGGCACAGGACCACTGCACCGTTGTGGAGATTGATCAATCCGCTCGCCCGTATTTCCGCTACGGGAATGGGAAGTGGGGTCAGGCTCTTTATCAGGTCACCCTCCGGAGTGATGACGCCCAAACAGTTCAAGGTCTATGCCCTGCCCAATCCACCAGAGCTACATCAACCTGGTTTTGACAGATCTATGCTGGTTCCCATCCTGGTTGGAATGGATCATCTGGGACCTCACGGGGCTGGTGTGATGATTGATTTCTCCACCGGCATGACCCTCAACAGTTTGGAGAGTGACCCCAAGCCATATCCTTTGTGCCACAACCACAAGGGTCACTATGTGTTGGACATCAGACAGTTCCTCACCAACGGTCTCAGCAATGATAAGGGCCACCCAAGGATCCATGTTCGTGGTGCCGGGCAACGTCGTGTCAATGATTGTCAGGTTCTGGAATTCCACACACTTCATGTCCAACTGGATTCCCCAAGGGCCGCCGCCGTGGCCAGAGCCGCGATTGTCGGCGCCAGCGCGCGCGCTGCTGTCCAGCTTTGAGGCCAGCTCGGCGGTGACTCGGTCGTCCAGGGACTGGATGGCAGCCGCGTTGTTGCCTGAGGCTGCCGTGTTCACCGCCAGGTCAGCCACTTGCGCGTATAGGGTGTCAGAGCGAGGGCCAGCTGGTTCCGACCGCGGACGACCTGGAGACCATGGACCTGCTGTCAAGGATCAAGGAGGCGGTCCCAAAGAGGAAGGGTGTCAAGGAATTCGACGAGACCTGCAGTGTCCCTCTAAATCCTCGCAATCCTCGAAGTCACCCGGACCGGCCATGCTTCGCCCGACATCTGCCGGGCAGCTACGGAAGCAATGCTCATGGCAAGTGGAGCCATTGCCAAATATGCAATCTGAGGCTGTCCTACATCCCTCGCAAGGGCAGCCCAGCCAACAGCACCCAAACTCACAATCCCGGCATGGTGGCGAGGATGCTGAAGGAGCTCCAGGACCTGATGGGCGACGTGCGCCCGACCTCGGAAATCTGCCTGGCCATGCAGGAGAAGATCAACGCCGAGGAGAAGCTGCTCCACAAGATCCAACTCGCAAAGTCCGTTTCGAAGAAAGCAGCATCCTCAACGGCAACTTCCGGAATGAACTCCAAGTCCAAGGAGCGCCCTGCGCAGAAGGCGGAGTCTTCTCACAGCTTGGAGAAGATGTCCACGACCTCCGAACCACCTCGCGAAGTGGAGTACAGGGCAACCACGATTCTGGCGGACCTGGATCAACACCTCACCGAGGAGGAGAAACTCGAGCTCTTCAACACACTGACCATGCGCAAGACCCAGCATTCCGGGGACAATCCCAACGCGGAACCGATGGCGTGAAGAAGCTCCCCAACTCTGTTGGTTTGCGACTTCTACAACTCATGAGCCTCATGACCACCAACCTCGCGAAAGCCACGGCTTCCATGGTTCTTGACGAACGGGATCTCCTGTGGGAGGTGGCCTGCTCCGACAACTCATGGCTCACCTCTGAAGTGCAAAATCATGGACTACCAGCACGCCGCATAAACTACAACGCAGGCTTCGACATCTACGACCCCCAAACTTGGGTACGCCTTCAAGACCTACGGCGACGACACAGACCCAAGCGCAATTGGTTCTCCTTCCCATGCACAAAATGGTGCCAATTCACCAACTTGAACTACAACACCCCGGAACGTCGAGAAGTCCTTGAAACAGCCCGACGTCGAGAACGCAAAATGCTGAAGAACGCCAAGCAGTTCATCCTGCAGGCCCTCGACGAAGACCCGGACTTCGACATCTACTGGGAATGGACCCATCCCTGCGCTGGGTGGGAGCAGCAACCAGTGGTTGACCTTCGTGAAGGTCTACGAGCTCGTGGTCTGGACTGGCTTCGCTGCCGAGTTGACGGCTGTCGCTATGGCATGACCAACAAAGCCGGCACTGACCTCCTGAAGAAACGGTGGTTGATCCGTACCACCGATGAGCGCTTCCATCAAACCTTCCGCGCTCGGGTCTGCACCAACAACCACAATCATGCACGCATAGAAGGAGCAGAGACGAGCCGCTCCAGCTACTATCCACTGCGACTCGTGCAAGCCATCGTCCGCGGATGGCTATCTGAACTTGCTCCACAACGGTACCTCAAGTACCTCTCAGCCTGTCAAGACTTGTCTAGCAAGGACATCAACATGGATGACGACCATTGGAACCTCAAGCACTACCAGCGCAACAGTATCACCTCCATGGACCCAACTCGGCCATCGCATGCATCCCTCACACCATCTCGCGAACCTTGGGTGGCTGCCCTGGCCTTGCCCACAGCTGCAAGGGCCACAAAGTCAGGCTTGCAGCCGGCCGGCGCCTTCCGCGCTTTACTCAGAACTCCGCTGCGCTCTTTGCGGCCACAGTCTAGAGGGTTTTCGCGCTCGTCGCTAAACGGCCTGAGACTCTCCCTTGTTTCCGAGGCCCCGAGTCCGGAAATTTTGGCCCGTCGCTAAACGGCCCGCGACTTCTGGCCTTTCTAAGCTGCCTTCAAAAAGAAGGCTTTTCTGTGGCCGGCGGACGCGCGTGGGCCGCAGGCTGTTTAGCGACGGCCCGAAATGTCCGGGCGCTCGGACGATCCTAGAACGCGGGAAGCGCTGGGCCATGTTCGCGATGATCTCCATGCTGGAGAACTCCATGCAGACGGTCACCCCGCTAGTGAAGCAATTCTGTCTGTGCCATCAGATGTACCTCAAGATGGTCCAGAACAACGAGCTTGGTCTGCCAAGCTACACCACTTCCACAAGGCCGCTGGGCATCCCACCAACCGCAACCTTGTGCACCTACTTCGAGATGCTCGGCTACCCGAATGGAAGATTCAAATGGCCCGCGACTTCAAGTGTGCTTCGTGTGATGCTCTTCGACCTGGCGGATCCTCTTCCGGAAGTATACCACCGGCATCCACGCATCCACTGTATCGCGCCTGGCAAGCTATTGGCGTCGATGTGACCGAGTGGGTGATACCCAATAGCAAGCTGAAGCTCAAATTCATGCTGATCATGGATCTGGCCACACGTCTCCGAGCTGTGCATGTCATCAAGTGCTACGATGTCCTCAAAATGCAGAGCGAAAGTTCAGCAGACATTATCAAGGGTCTAGCTGAACGGTGGCTGGCCGACTACCGCGCTCCTGGAAGAAACCCAGTTCGAGATCAGTGCTAAGGAAGACGTCTCTCGGTGGCGTTCCCTCTCCGACATGCTGCCCAACAAGGAGTTCATCGATCTTGCCGACGATGAACCCGGAGTCAATGAACAAGAGCAGCCTGATCTGCCCGATCTCCCCACCAAGGAGACCATCGACATCCCCAAGAGGCGGATCCGTGTGAAGTCCGCACCACTTCTGGTTCCTCCACGCCCTGCTCATGTACCCTTCATGGCGGACGACCCGGACTACACCCCCGAGTCACTTGACAGCTCTATGGGACCATCCATGCCGGAGACCTCGATTGAACCTCAAGCCTTACCACCTGATCTACCTGGCACCGCAGCTGAAGATCCCAACAGCTATGAGCCAGACAACAAGAAGCAGCGTACCGACGGCTATGACCTGGGCTGGCTCGAGGAACTACATCAAGTTGAAGGTGATCTCCATCAGCTACTCATCGACTCCCAGGAGGTGATGAAGATCGAGTTTGACGTTGACCTTGACTCCCACCGTAAGGAGAAGGACTTCCTCCGGGACGCCTCGGCCTTCATGGTCAAGAAGATGAGAGACAGCGAGGTTGTGCTCTCCCGTCTCTCTCCTGAACACAGAGAACTCTTCAGCAGAGCCAAGTCCAAGGAAGTCAGCAGCTTCATCAAATCTGAGGCTGTTCGCAAGGCCCTGGACGACAAGGAGGTCTGCGAGGCCTTCGACTCTGGCCGCATCAGAGCCAGATGGGTTCTCACCTGGAAACCAACACGTCCAGAAGATCTTCAAGAAGCTCAAGCCGAGGCGAAATCCAACGCCAAGTCCACCTACACCAACAACGGTCAACGCAAGGCAAAAGCACGCATTGTGCTTCTCGGCTATGAACATCCGGACCTTCTTCGGCCTCTTGACCTCTAGTCCTGTGCAGTCTGGGTTGGGAAGAAACCTCCTGTACACCATGGCCTGCACTCACGGCTGGGAACTTGAAGGTCTCGATTTGGCCACTGCATTCTTGCAGACGCAGCCCACAGAGGCGGATCAAGATCTGTGGACTCGCGGTGTATCAGAGCTTCGTGAAGCCCTGGATGTTCCAGCAGACGGAGTCATGAAGATCCTCAAGAACATCTACGGCTCAACGACCGCACCAAGGGGACTCTGACTGGACCTTCACCGGCGCCTGGCCTCCATTGGCGGCAAACCACTCATTGGCGAACGCTGCATCTGGATCTGGCAGTCAGCCACGGAGAAGGACGCCTTCGGCATCCCCCTGGTACTCGGCATCATGGGCGGCCACGTGGACGATTTCCATCGTTGTGGCAATCATGAGTGGATTCAGGTCTGCTCCCAGATCGACAAGCTCTACGAGTGGGGCACTTCCAAACGTGGCAACTACCGGCACGCTGGAACCGACCTGACCTCCATCATCAACAAGGACGGCTCCGTGGAGGTAAAGATCAATCAGCAGTACTACATCGACTCCATCGCCGATGTGAACATCGATCCAGATCGCCTTCGTCAAGAGAATGCGGTCATGAATCCTGAGGAGGTAGCTGCATGCCGCACTACCTGGGGCAGTCTTCAATGGGTGGCCTTGCAGACTCAGCCGCAGCTCTGTGCTAGGTGCAACCTACTTGCATCCGAAATCACGACCAAGCGCCTCATGCAATCGGCGCTGGAACTTCAACAGCTAGTCGGCGAGATTCGCAAGCACGCCTACCAGCTGCACTACAAGAAACCACCTGGAGTCGAGTCATGGCGAGACATGGTGTTTGTGACCTTCTGCGACCAAGCCCACGCGAATCGCAGCAAGATGGATTCCACCGGCGGCTTGATCTCAGTTGCTACTGGACCTCACGCAAGCGAAGGCAAGGTCACGTACATGGCACCCCTGGCATGGCGAAGCTGGAAGCTGCGCCGCAAGGCCATATCCTCAAATGATGCTGAAGTCCAGGCAATCCTGGATGGCGAGGATCAGAACTTCCGCATCCGCGTGCTCTGGTGCGAAATGAATGGAGCCGGTCACGATCTCACCCCACACGAAGACAGGGTGGAATGGGCTGAACGCATGGCCCGCGGCATCAAAGGCATTCTGGCCACCGACAGCAAGGGCGGCTACGATGCGGTGATCTACAACGAGTCACCAATGCTTGGGTAGAGCAACGCAAGAGCCGCGCTTCAAGCTCTTCAACTTCGGGAGCATCTCACCCGAACCGGAGCTGAACTTCGTTGTGTGGCCAGCGACTATGATCTCGGCGACGCCTTGACCAAGAAGAAAGCTGAGTGTCGCCTGGGTCTCACCAAGTTTCTTCAAACAGGCCTGTGGAGTGTTGCATATGACAACACCTTCACATCAGCTCGCAAGAGCCACGGCCAAGGGCGTTCTGCCATTAAGGACGTGACGGCACATCAGCAACGGGATCAGCAGTTGAGAAAGGTTTTTGGCCCATGCGATTCCTTCGGTTGTGACATGTCAACTGTTGATCCACTGCTGCCACCATGGCCCTAGACAGAGGGGCCCCTTTGTCCGCTCGACACCGAGCCACGGTTGCGACCGCGCCAGTGGGCGCGTGGACATTCGATCTCAGCGCAAAGATGCGCTTTGGCTGCTGCGAGCCTCCTTGACCCCCGGTCATTGCAGAATCCCTTCATTTCAGTCTCACTGAAGAATTGGGAGTGGGGGGGGTTAATTCAAATGAGCTCAAGTCGGTATGGGTCAAAACTAAACCACCAGGAATTAGACTGCAGGTTTTAGTCAATGGTTCCATTTACCAGGGTACCTACTTTGGGTACCCATTGATGGGATCCTCTACGACCATTTTTGTCCCTTTTGGATATGTTCTGTCGCCGGCTCTTCAGGCTCCTTTTCATGTTGACCCAGAGGTGGAGCCCTTCTGAACACTTATGACTTGCCCGGTGACATTGAATCCCTTGTACCCCGTACAACAAAAGTTCCCGGTACTAAGCTGAATTTACTGGCCAATTCTATCAGGGTCAGTCTACACGGGGTGTCCCTGAGAAGGACACCACAGGCCGGGAGATACCGCGGGAGATACCACTTGCTCCCAGAGAGTGCCTTTAGTTGTCTGGGTGTGTCCAACAAAAGGACACTCCTCTTTGGATCGATTTCGGCTTGTAAGAGCAAGTAGCGCCTTCTTTTCCTTGCAAACAGGCAAGTCGCTGCTTCCCAGCGCTCCCCGGGCTTCAGATTGCCCTTCTGGGACTCTGGATGCGCAGTGTTCAGATTTGGGCGCTGGCCGGAAAGCTTGCCTGCTTGTCAGCGTGTTGCAAGGAATGTGGCAAGCGGCAGCGATGGCTTAGCCCCAGGATCCGTTTAGGGCAAGTCGTTTTTGGCAAGCACAAACCCGGTCACGCGTCTGGCTCAGTGTTAGACATGCCATAAAGCTCATTTGTACAAGCGGAGCGACAGCAACCAAGGCACGTCGTTTGTTTCCCACGGGTCGGCCACTTCGACACGATGTCGATGCTCAGGTGGTAAGCCTGAAGGCCCAAGGCAGCGACGTGCTGCCGCCCGGATTTACATGAGGTCCCCAAGCGGCGTGGCTTGGTGTACCTTCGCCTTCTTCTTGGAACTCGTCACATGTATGACATATTGTATTTAGCGAAGTGTGGACGTAGGCATGTCATGCGTAGTGATATTGGTACAAAAATTTGTTTCTGGATATTGTTGAGATGCAATTCATTTTAATCCAATACGCGCTGTCACTAGGTCCCCCAGTAGTGCCCTTTTACCCCTTTTTTTGGGGAGGGTTGCCCTACTAAAATAGACTACGGCAAAAAGGGTGCCCTTATTCTAACCTCTCTACTGCAGGACCTAGGAAAAAATCATTTGTCACATTTGTTTACTGGTCCAATTGAAGCCATTTCCAAGCCCTTGCCAGTTGGAGTTCCAGTCCAACTTCTTGGACTCTCTGGAGGATTTGCCCAAGGGCTGTTGGGCTGTGCGCCAGGACGGGGTGAGACAGTCGCAGGGAATGGAACCGGTTTGAAGATCTGGGCACAGCAGGCTCATGCTCATGTGGCTCGGAAAATTTAATTGGGACCCCCCTTCCCAGATAATTGGTGGACATGAATCCCCACCTAAATGATGTCCACCAGAGGGTCCCTCATTAAGAAACCTTTACTTGGGGATCAGTTGTTGCAGGTGTTGAAACCTTGTACAACCAATGCAAACTGGCGAAGGAATCACATTGCAGCTGGCCCAGTTAGCGACGCTTTGATTCCATGCTGTATTGCTTTGTATGCTCGTTCGAATCCAGACAAAGTTGAGCAGTCGCATACACATGATTCAGACGCCGTCATTGTAGTAGCATCGAGCCGTGGATAGAGAGCAAGAGAGAGAGAGAAAGAGAGAGAGAGAGAGAGTGATAGACAATCATGCATAGACAAGAAAGACACACACACACACACAGACACACACAAATTCTCCCTGAGAAAGAAAGTATATATCAGACAAAAGTCTCCACGTTCGTGCTTGGGAATGGGGCTTCTTGAGTCCCGCTTGCCAAATTGATTGGTTTGCTTTTAGGTCTTCAGAAACAGGCCCCCAAACTGGGTATCGACTCAACATTAAGTAACGGGCCCCAGTTTCGGCCCCTTTGACTGCTGAGGGCGTTTCCGATTTAGAAAGTCTCCTAGACCGTCGCCACAAACCTGAGGACGCAGCCACCGCCTTGGTGACTCTGCGCTCCTTGCCAATGCCTCAGGTGGAAAGGGACTTGGATGTTCGACCAAGTTCGCTGTTGGTGACCGAGGCTCTGACCTACGTGTAAGTCCCCCTAAGATCCCACGTGGAGTAAGCCCTGTAGGGTTAAACTGTTATAGCCCAAGCGGCTCCAAGAATGCAACCATGAATTCAAAACGCTACCTTTTTCCACCAGGCCATATGTGTTTTTTGTTTCATCGGGTTGATCATGTTCCGGAGCATTGTTTGAATGTGACCCAGCCTGAACCTGGTTTGGTCAAGTTGCATTGCAACATGGAGCTGCTCCAGGCAGAAGCAAACCACTTTTTTGCTCAAGATCCGCATTTTTGAGATGCGCCTGGAACCCAAGCGGAGGTTTCAGAAGGAGATTCCTCACATGACGGTGCACCTCCGGAGGGTGTCTTTTCCTTTCGCCAAGAGGGGTTCAACAGACAATTCCTTGGGTTCCACGGTTGGTTTGGCAGTTTGCAGTGTATAGCTTGATGAGCAGACGGAAGAGGTGCTAGCATTTGAAGCCGACGTCTCCGAAGGCTGTGTTGAGACAGGCAAGGCAGCCAGGAATGAGGAGTCAAGGTGTCAAGGTCAAGGACATCTGCAACTTGATTGTTTCACTTGTGCATTTTTTTCCGTGCCTCCAGATGATGAGCAAATCACGGGGTGGAAAGGTGTTTTGTTTCCTTGGGCTTCCTCTCACGGACCAATTTTTCTAGGATTTCGTAGCAGCCCCGTTAGCGCTCTTTTACTTTGCTTCATTTGCGTTGAGTTTTGGTCGTTCTATTTCTTAGCTGTAGATGAACCCAGGCGGTATCCCCAACAGCCCCGGAACCTCCGGAACCCTCCCTGAAGGCTGCAATCCAAACCACCCCATAGCTTCATCGGGAAAATCGACCCCAAATTTGTACAAATCCCAAGCTTTCAGCTGTTGGGAATCAACAAGCAGCGTTTCGCCCTGGAGGCTTTGGCCCGGCTACTCCGCGTTTCACGTGCCGGGCACCGGAAAGCCGCTCGGCATCCAGCGAAGACAGCTGATTGGTGCACCTCGTCAACGCCGCATCAATGATGCGGCCGGAATACCTGTCTAGCTGTGCCCGCTTCGCTTCAGGAGACATCCACATCGTGGTTGCCTCATGCTTTTCGAGGGTTCGACGAAAGGACATTTTGTGTGGACTGGGGTGAACTTAAAAAAAGGCTTGAGACATGAAGCTTCTGATGTGTCTGGCGTGCACAGCGGGGAATGGCAGCTGCCCAGGTTCGGCGGTGTCTACTTTGGCTATGCCTCCAAGAACAACGACCTGGCATTCCTCATCTGAGGTGCGACTGGGCGGGGGGGTAACCCCACCGGCTGTTTCTGTGTGTGTGCGTGCAAATGCATATTCAGCGAATTGTGTGCTGCTGCTTTGCGGACCAGTGTTTGCTGTCGAATCAGTGTTTGGTTGTTTATTTGTTAATTTGCTGGTTTGTTTGTCTATATTTATTTCTCTCAGTCTTTCTGTCAGTCGATCGGTCGGTCGGTCGGTGGGTTGGTTGGTAGGTCGGTCGGTCGGTCGGTCGGTCGGTTACAAACAGTTCGAAGATTTCGAGATGCTTTGTGCATCTAATTTCCATGGCGCTATAGCGTAGGTGTGGGCAAGCTGTACGACTTCACGGGTGGACTTGGCCCATGATTGGTTCAGTACAGGCATCATATCATTCCTGGTGCACTCTTTCAACAACGGATGAAGTACACAAGGGACCTTTTCTAAGGCGATGCCGGTCTTGGAAGAAGGTAATTACTTGCTTGAGTATGAGCCAGAATCTCGAACTGTGATTTCACTTGTGGACAAAAGCCGAGATAGGATTCACAAGAGAATACCGGGTACCAGACCCAGCTGAGCGGGTAGCTGAGAGTTCTATTTGACACTGCAAGTGAGCGAGAGCGCATCGTCCTTTGGGAATGAATCAGGTCCGCAGGGCCTTTCGAAGCGGCAGGGCCAGCCGTTCTGCCTGCCTTCTGTCCATTCTGCGACGCGTTTTGTTTGAAGGCCCATTCTGTGATGGAACACTGACCTGGGGCAAAACTGCAGCAGGTGCAAGAGTTTAATTGTATGAGCGCCTTACCATGTCACAACTAGTCAACAATCTGTATGTATCTATACTAGCTAATATATGGGGGTTGATCAATATTTCTGGCCCCCAAATGACCATGGCAAACTTGTTTCCAATTAGTGGGGAATATCATTTTGTTTGGTCCCCCAACGGTCATCCCATGTAAAGCACCTGTTGATCAACCCAGCCACATGTAGCGTGTGTGTGTGGGCCCCCATATGTAGCGTGTGTGTGTGTGTGTGTGGGTGTGTTGGGGCTCGGCCCCAGGGTTCATTTCGCGCTCTCTTTTTTTGAAATGGATTACACCCTGGGACTACACCCTTGGGAAATGACCTAGAATGGCTCAAAATAACACGGTCGTAGCGTGCACGCATGACATGAATGCCGCACTTCGGCATCACAGCTGCCAGGAGGCCATCTGCTGGCTGAGGCCAGCTGCCGGTTTTTTCTTGACCCGGGAGGTGACATGGTTGACTTTGCGTAGGATGACTCTCTGTTGCCCAGTGGTGCCCTTTTTTTTCTTCTTCGATCGTGCAGTTGATTTTCTTGTAACACTGATGGGCAGAATCCTGCAGTGGGCAAGTGGGTAGTCGGGGTATTTCTCGTGTCATGGGGGTTCATTTGTCCATCCACGTGTTGCGCTTATTGGCCCCTTTGGTCACGCGGGCCCCAATTCTGTCGAATTTGGAAATCCCCACATATGATGTAGCCAGGGAGCAGTTCAAACATTTGACAAAGGTGAGCGCAAGGAAAAGGTCCCAAACATTTAGGGACTGGTTTTCGATTTCCCGGCCACCCTTTAAGAAATCGATCGAAATCAGGTACCTCACAGCACTCATGGCCCTTCCTGGAAGGTGTTTCCCCGCCCTGTTTTAAGTCCTCATCACCATACTTCTCATGGTGTTTTTGAACGGAACCGGGAACTCCTGCCCCAGAACGCTAGAAAGTGCCTTGCCACGTTGAGAGAGCCAGCGGGAACCAACGGATGCGGCGTGCAGGCAACGGTTCACCTGCACCCGGCCGGTGGCAGAACTTGCCCGGCACCCGGATCGGTCGCTTCGGAAGAGAAACGGTCCATGGGGAACAGGGGGCTTGTCCAAAATGGGTACCCCTGTTGGACCATGGTTTATGTGGGGCCCGCCTTTAAAAGAGATCCACAAAGAGGTCCATAGTTTTTGACAACCTCCCAACAGCCCCGATGGAAAATGGTCCATCCTTTTTGTGTTGGACTAAGCTTGCCCATGGTGAATGACTAAGCAACTAAGTTGGAGGCTGTGCTTCAAGCGCAGTACTTCAACCCGAGTTTCAACCGTCGCTGGACAAATGAGTTGACAAGTTCACCGGATCAGGGGGCTAAGAGGAGCTCGGGCCCTTTCACGATCATGAACGTCCCTCGCTGACGCATTCCTTTGCCCAGGTTTTTGGAGGAATGGGAGAGTGAATTGCCCAAGTCAGAGGAGCTGGAAATCCCGCAGCGTTGTTGGAGCTGGTTATATAATTACGCCCCAAAGCTTTCCTTGCAAAACGGAGTGCCAGTCTTGTGTGTAATTGTTTATGGTCAGCGGGTGGTCTAACGGCCCTCGAGGGATAAAATCGCATCCAGCCTATTCCAGCCTTTAACAACCCAAAAGACAATGGCTGCTTACCTACTATATCTGGGCTGTTCAAAGGCAATCCTTGATCCTTACCTTGGGTTACGAAAGGGGTCCCCTTTGTAGTGGTTGTACAGCAGCGACTCAGGACAATCGGATTGGCCAACACGAGCCATTTTGAGCAGCCCAGTGAAATCCAATTTCTGGTTTATTTTAGATCCATTCCCAAATAGTTGGTTTCCTTTTGGTTTCCTTTTATGTTCCACAACACGAGCCGATGTCTTTTGATCAGCCCAGTACCTGGGTACCATGGGATCCACTGGGTAAACACGTGGCTCTCCTGGGCTCTAGGGTCACTTAGGTCGCCCGCGCGTGGGAATTCGAGAGCTGAAAAAACAAACCGCGTGCGTTTTGACGCATTTGGAGTTTGAGGAGTTCTGAAAGGGTCCGCCCTTGGGATTGCTTTGAAGAGATTCACAAGCAAACCAAGGGAAATCAAACATACTTTACTTGAAGCACTTTTAGGTATAGGCAAACCAAAAGCAAACTGACCACCAAGGGTGGCCTTGACAGAAACACTTTTGCGGTGGGGGGCGAGCTGGTGCTACCCAGTTGTTCAGTGACACCCTTGTTTTCCTTGCTAGGGACCTTGTGTATTACCCCAAAATTCACACGGGGGAACTCCCGGAAAACAACCAAGCTGTTGCCCCAGGTTGCAAAAAAAAAAAAAAGTAGAGCCTCTGGACCATCCGCTTTCTGACCTCGAATCTTACTGACCCAACTGCGGGCTGATAGAAACCCCGAGGTTTTGGGGATGGTAGCACTTGCAGCGTTTCAGTTGTGAGATATGTTCCAAATTTTGGACTTCAACTGGGCCCAACGTGAAGGGCCCGTTCCCTTGTTCCGCCTCAGACAGAGACTGGGAATCCTAAAGGATAGACACCCTGGTTGCAACGCTCTTGGTTACCGCCAAGCGCCTTCCAACAAATGTGTGCCTGTTTTGAACACCATATTATCAGCACGTGGGCTAAGTTTCAGCATTGAACCGGTCACCCCCCACAGGGTCCTCCTACGAGATCGACCCAAGTGCGGTGTTGGCATCAGTGGCCCTGGGGGCTTAAACCTTCTTACATGAGGTCAGTCTCAAAGCTTTAGATCTTGGGGGGTCTGAATTGTTGGCTCATGGCTTTCCATTTGCGCCTTGCTTCGGGGATCTGGGGATCCCAACACAATCACCTTGTGTTCATCCTTTTATAGTAGGTAGCCAAGGGAACCACCCTTTAAATACCAACAGGAGACTAGCTGGAAACCGACGAATTTCCGGGGTTTTTCTGAGATCTACTGGGCCAGCTCCGGCAGAAGTTGTTCTGCTCCCAGATCTTCCTAAAGCAAATGAACTCTTGATCCGCTCTACAAGTGTGGCACAAAACTGAGGACAGAGGATGGCATGTTGGTGTAAACCTGGTGTCTTCTCCAAGGTTGTGCTCTACTCTTGTGGCAGACTAAATGGGGGATGATCAAAAGGTCCTTTACAGGGGAAGACCATTGGGGAACACCACTAAAAAGATGATGCATCAACCACTAAGTGGGGAAAGTTAGCCATGGTCATTTTGCGGCCGGACGGAGTATTGATCAACCCGCAAATGTGGAGGAGTTTCTGCAAATGCTATTTTTGGCGTACCCCAAAAAAACCCAGAGCAGCGCGGGGCCAAGAAACTCAGGGCTGGGATTGGGATTTCTGTTCCGTGGTCGACTCGGCAGGATCTCGGCCCAAGCGCAAGGGACCTGTCCGATCTCATAAGGCCCAACAGCCAGCGACACTTCCGGTTGACCTCGATATGGATACGTCTCAAGATGGTTGGTTTCCTTTTGGTTTCCCTTCAAACCTATCCAACAAATGGTATCCTCAAAAAGCACACACGCCCATGTATACGTGTCGGTGCAGAGTCGTGCCACGGAGCCAATCCGGTGGCATGTTGCTTCATGGATCGTTCCAATCTTGAGCAGAGTCGAGGGTTGTCTTGAGCCTTTTGAACAAGTGCTTTGGAGCCTTGCTTCTCAAGCCAAGTGGAACTATTTACCCTGCTAGGTAAACAAGGGAGAACATATTCTTCAAAACTAAAAGGAACATGTCTTAGATCCACTGGGAGATACTTTATCCCAGGGCTTCACACCCAACCCCTCCCAATCACCGAGCCTCGAAACCGGGCGGCGTCGCATTACGCCATGAAGCGCGGCTACGATGAGGGTCCAGGCGATTGGCGCCAGATGTTCGACCGGTGGATGTGTTTTTGTTTCTTCCATGCTTTGACGCGGGCTTTACCTTAGAATACCAGTACCAACAAAAGGCGCGCTTCTTTTGTTGTGACCCCTGGAGGTCTGGGCTGAACCACAATCAAAATCTCTTCGGGTTGGTGACGGCTTGTAGGGCACAGTTAAAGCCCCTAATGTCTTATTCTGCCAATACCGTCACGTACCTCATCCTCTGCTTGATTTGCCACTCCAGTTCACAAGTGGCCAGCGATGACGTTAATCGTTTGCTCCTTCTTAGATCCCTCAGACTTATGAACACCATCCTGCAATCCCTGCTGAAGAAGGAGCACTCCTGACCTTCAGTTCCCGCGCCGAAGGGAAGCATCGCCGAAGAAAGCTAAGCAAAGGCCGCCAAGGGTCAACCCCTTCCCGTGAACGTGGCCGCGGTAGGCTCGAAGCTAGAACCGGAGGTTTCGAAAGACGAAAGGCTGCTGGCGACTGGACGTTCTCCCGGGTTGTGAAAGGGGGTCTCCTATGGAGTGGTTCAGGGGCCAACCCTCCATTTTGAATAGGCCTGACGTGCGCATCCAAACCCCAACTTGTTGTGGCAGGAGTCCTTGCAAAGCCATCTTGCAGACTTTCAAACAGTTTTGGGAACCTGGGGGTTTTACCGGACCACATCTGGATTCGTGGCGGATGGTTGAGTGATGCTGTTTCATCAGGGTTTCCGGCAGGCCGGGAGCGCGCCCGCGAGAGGTTCGGCCTCAAGGCGCGACAAGTGCATGAACTTCTTAGTGTTCCACCTTTTTCCGATTTCATCATGGATATAGCGTTTTTAAGGTTTTAAAGAGACACCCAAAATGGTGGTTGTCCTTTTGGTTTCACTTGGAAACCATCCCGAAAGGGGAAGCCTCAGAAAAGGAAAGAAATAACAACTTGTTCCCGCAGTGGTTTAAACTGTTGCCGTGTTTAGTCCAAATCTCCAAAGTTCCAAAGGTGAACCTTTGGGCAAGCCACGAAAAGACTTCGACGTGCTGAGACATGTTAAGCAAGTGAGTCAACCTGGATGGAACCAAGCAGAATCACGGATACCGCAACCAGCCCGTTTCCCCCGACCATGCTGTTCCTGTTGGAACAGTCTGTCAAAAGATTCGCTTCGCACCGAGGGTTCCACCTTACGTTTTGGTTTGGTGGTGTTGTTCAACGAAGATGAAAACAACCCACAGCCCGGTTTTCTCTTGGACCATGGTGTTGCTTCTTGTCGCCACTTGAATCCTGCAGGCACTATTGTTGTTTTTCAGTCACATAGGGTTCAGTCATCATAGTTTTTTTCGTGCACGACATCACTGATTGCAGCGCCCCACACCGGTGGATTGTTGACCACCCGTTGGGCAAGGAAGAATTCCTGCCAACAACCATTACTTCATACAGGGTGCTACGGACTTTTTTCTACCAATCTGGGTGTGTCCTTTCTAGGGCAACCCTCTTTTGGTAAAGGGACTCCAACACTTTGTAACCAAAACTGGGTGCGTCATGCTTTTATTTTGGGGAACCCTCGTTTAGGGGCACGACAAGGAACCACCCTTTCAGTGGTCCTGAACAAGCACTCCCCCCACCCCCGCCTCAACCCCCCCCCCACCCCACCCGCCCCCTCAACCCCCCCCACCCACGTCAGCGGGATGAGGCACTGGTGCCCGACACCTTCGCCAGCTTCCTGCTCCGCGAGCGGGGCGTGGCCAAGGAGGAGCTCCAGCAGGACTCGGACGTCGGACCCGATTTTCGGGCGATGCTCGGGGCGATTTTCGGGATGGGGGGGGAGGGGGGAGAGGGGGGGGGAGGGGAGGGAGGGGTGGGCTGCCATTTTTCCTGTGGCAAAGGGTGTGGAAAAGCAAGAGCCGTTGGGTTTTGTTGAGCCGTTTGCTAAGTGGATAAGCAAGGACCTAGGTTTTCTTGAGCCCTGCGGAACAAACTAGCCTCAAATTTGCATAGCTCAAGCGGGTGACCGATGCCCAACCACAGACCCAAGCGCTTTGTCATTGAGTAGGAGAGCGCAGGTTGTCAAGCAGTTTTTGGCGCGAGCCGAAGCGAAACAGCTTCATTCAGGTCTAACGAGAGACGAGCAATGCTGCTGCGAACCTGCGGTACTCAATATCCCTATGCTTCCTCGACTATTTTTTAAATAGGGGTTGTTCAACCCCTATTTTTTTGCATTGACAACCCCTATTTTTTGACATTGGCCTTTGGAGTTCATTTTGGGTTGTTACTTTTTTTGTTTGAAAGCTACGCCTGCTACTGCAACCTCTTAAGTAGCCTTGGGAGCCACATATTTCTCTGCCAGCAAAGTTAAATTACTACTTC